ATGATCATTCAGTAAATTTCATGATATGGGGATTGGAATCCAGATTGACTCGGAGTGGGAAACTGATTCAGGCCCTTGGTCTGGATTGTCCCTATTTCAGAAAGCTAGTTGAGATCAGGGAATGTGGCTTTGGAGAAAGATGGCCTTTCCCTCTGAAGGTCTTACCTCCTACTGTAGTCCTTCTGGCATGGAGGAAAGAATACATGACCTCTTTCTTCACTTGAGGGAAGACAATGTCTTTCTCTGTGAATGAAGAAAACAAGAACTTTTCTCAATTTTATTCTATACAGAGAAAGGTGAGATTTTCAATCTAGTACACCAATGCTGGAAATCTTTTGTGATAAGAGCCCACTGCTAAACTGCTACAGCATGTGATGGTTAAATGTTTAACCTTGATTGAAGACTTTGTTAGATTTTATCCTGATTATGAGAACCAGAGCCTGCTTGTTGAATTAACTAAGCCTTTTAGAATACTAATTTATGTTCTGTGAAAATCTGCTCTATTTCACAATTAATTCATTTAACTTAAATGAATGCTTGTGATAACCATACATTAAAAACCCTATGTTTTCTATAGGAACTTGAAGAATTATTTTACAAGTTGGATAGTGATGGAGATGGCAGAGTAAGCTTAAAGGAATTCCAGCATGGCTTATTCAGCCATATCTGCATTCCTTGTCCTTTTTCTTCCACACCACTTAAATCAAAAATGCAAAGATCACACACTAATCAGGTAATTCTTCTGAATAATATTTTCTTTATAAAATTCTTGGTTCCAAAGGGAAAACGTTTGAAGGTTCAAATGGCTTCCAGTTACTGCATTTTCATACAGACTGGTGTTAATGATTTTTATGACAGGCTGATATCTAGCAGAAAACCTATTTTTCCCATTGGTTGGATTCATAAACAGTGCTATTAAAATGTTTTAAATAGAGCTCTGTGTAATAAGCTGTAGTAGCATGGTTCATGTGTAGCAGTAGATTATAATGGGTGAATTTGCATATCTTGCTAAGCTAAAATCAAGACAGATAATGATCTAGAACTGTCTTTCACAATGTTGGCATATTTTTTTCATACTTTCAGAAATGTATACCTAGAGTAGGACAGGGCTTGAAATGTTATTGCTAATAGAAGCATATACAGAAATAAGGATCAACCTGGAGAAAGGAAAAGTGGTATAAATTATACAGCATGACAGAATCATAGAAGATTTTGTGTTGGGTGCGATCCAATGTTTGGCTTGGGCCCAACAGCCTGCAGGGGAAGTTTTGGCCAATATGATGAAATTATTGGACTTTCTCTTAACTTATTTTATCTATTAGGTGCAGTGGATGCTCTGTATGTCATTAAATGTATTATGGCTTATTAATTGATCTTCTCTGTCGGTCTCATTAGCCCTTTGCCCAAGTGTGTAGTTGAATATATCCCACTGATGCAGGAAATCTTAAACACCTAAATCTATACATCCAGATTATGTGTTCTGCTTAAGAAAAACCGGATTTCCAAAGCTGATTTAAAAGAAAAAAAATTCCAAACCACACCCACACAGGATATTTACTGCCTCTGTATTTACTGCATCTGAGTGGGTTTCTACAAATTAAATTTTGTAATAAAAGTTCTCTCAAATTAGGCTTGGCTCCTAGTGATATTTCTGCAACTTTCTTGGCAGTAATACAGAATTGCCATTAGTTTCCTTTAATGTGTTTTCCCCCCAAGTTCCTAATCTAGCCAATGAACCTGGAATTCACTGGTTATCTCTCATAAAGCACATAACAGGCACAGCCTTGCTAAGTTCCCCATTCTGGACAAATTCAGCCAGATGTTGTAGCTAAATAATGAGTTTAGGATTTTCTGATGTACCTACATGTTGTTTTTAAATTCTTTCCTAAATGTTTATTCCCCATTCACCTAAACTGATTCATTTGCTTCTCCTCTCTCCACCGCTGTTTTATTCCTCCATCATGCAGATTTTGAAAGACAATGGACAACAAACCGCAACTCCATCTTTTTTATCTAACTCAGCGGCTTTGAATCTTTTCTCCAGCATTAACGATGGCAGTGGTTTTGCAAGTGTGGAGCAAGTTGTCTCCATCTGGGCCTGGGAAGGGGTTGAAAACTGCAAAGAGATTTTAAAGGTATCTGTGTACCTGTTCTTTGATGATTTTCCTGGGAATTCTTAGCATGATGATTTTCATAATAAGGGATTTAAAATGTTGATAAGAAAAATGGGTGTAAATATGATTGGGACTGAGTGTATCTGCCATTGACCGGACATGGAAAGAAAGGAAGGCTAAGCCACTCAGTCTGATTGATGAATTTGCGAAGGTCCCTTGACTTTCCTTGTGGGGAACAGGCAGGGAAGATCACAAACAATGTTCTCATGATTGCAGGACATTGCAACCATTATACATTCAAGCCAGTTCCCAGATCACAATCATGTAACCCCAGTAGTACTAGGATAGCCAGAACTTTGAGAACTGGTCATAAATATCACTTGTTCAGCAATGTTGTAATTTGGAGCGGTCATTGAACTAATGGTAATTAACTGAGGACTATCTGAATATGAATTAAGATAGAATCTTATGCAAGGTTAAACTAGTATGAAAGTCATTTAATTTTGGTACCTCCAGAAATTCACGGAATACAGGTAGTCCTCAACTTACGACCACAATTGAGCCCAAAGTTTCTGTTGCTAAGTGAGAGTTGTTAAGTGAATTTTGTCCCATTTTACAACCATTCTTGCTACAGTTGTTAAATGAATAACTGTTAGTAACATGGTGGTTAAGTGAATCTGGCTTCCCCATTGACTTTGCTTGACAGAATGTTGCAACATGACCCCAGGACACTGCAACCATTGTAAAAATGAATCAGTTGCCAAGCACCTGAGTTTTAATTATCTGACCATCAGGATGCTGCAGCGGTTGAGAGTGTGAAAAATGGTCATAAGCACTTTTTGCAGAGCCGTTGTAACTTCAAATGGTCACTAAATGAACTGTTGTAAGTTGAGGACTACCTCTAATTCCTTTCTTACTTTCTCTGCTCATGTTCATACAAGCTCATTTGTTTAACTCATTTGCCATGAATTTCCTATCATAATCATTATGTTTTTAATAATTTTACCTCAAACATAATAGTTTTATATCAAATCTGCAAATCTACAAAGTTTTTTTTTCTGACAACAGAGCTTTAACAGTTTGCACTTCTTACTGTCCTTTAGTCTTGTTTAATATCTTTCCTGGTCTTAATTAGTTCATCTATTCTTCCTTGAATCTTTAATCCAATCCCTTAACTAAATAGTCCAATGATTATTACCCTTTAATATTTATTTAATGCCAACATTCTAATGCTATATTAATAATAATTTAAGGCAGTGTTTCTCAACCTTGACAATTTTAAGGCATGTGGACTTCAACTCCCAGAATTCCACAGCCAGCAATGCTGGCTGTGGAATTCTGGGAGTTGAAGTCCACATGCCTTAAAATTGTCAAGGTTGAGAAACACTGATTTAAGGGGTTGCTGACTCTTAGGATTTAGTTTCTCTTGATTTTTCAGACTTTGTCTTTTTATAGAGTCTTGATTTTAATGTGGAGGAAAGAGTGAACCTTCTAGAGCTCTCTATGATCCTTGATGATGAATTAATTGCTTCCAAGAATGGACTTCAGCAGGCAGCTGTTGCCTCTTATAAGCATGAACTTCATCATCTACAGTAAGTAGTTTTTGCTTTGGCTTTTGAGAATAATGGTGTTAGTATGTGTGTAGAAATTTCAGAATCGTCATTGTAGACTGCCTATTTTTTATTGTTGTTTGCATCAAGACCACATCTGTATGTACAAATGCACAGTGCTGTTACGTGAGATAGCTGTTCAGCTATATAGTTTCACATGTCACCAGTTGCAGATAGAGATTATACTGTATATGTTAGATTTATACTTATACTTATGTCTGCAGAGTTATGATATCTTAACAGAATCAGCGCAAATGGAATTTGGAGAAGTTGTAAATAGCACATTTTCTTTCTTTTTAGAACACAACTGGAACGGATTTTCAGTGAGAGAAATAAAGCAAGAGCTGATCTGGAAAAGACTAAAAAGAGAAATTGGCAGCTTTTTAAGGAAGTAGATGATAATCATAGTGCTCTGGAGCATCACAATGAGAGTAAACTCAGGTGATTATTGTCAAAGGAAAAAATAGTTACTATACTATATACAGTTATACAAATAAAAATACTAAGATTCTTATTATAGACAGTCATGATAAAAATGATGATTCTATGATTCTCCAAAGAAGAGTTGGTTTGCTGTATTTCTATCAAGGCAGTCTTTCTTCCATACCTATCCCCTTTCTAAGTAGTATTTATGGTGTCTTAATTATTTTCTCCAAATTCTAATATTCATTATCATTGTTATTTAATTTGAATTATATTTTATTCCTGTTTAAATTATTTCATAAAAGTATTATCATTTAAAAGTATTATCATTTTTTTTTTAAAAAAAAGCCCTGATCTGATTTCTAACCTATGGTGGCAAATGGAGAGTAGGTTATGACTGATAAATAAAAATATTAAAATAATTTCTTTTATTTCGAAGTGTGATATATATATGTATGTATGTATGTATGTATGTATATGTATATATATTTGCAAAATGTGTTTCAGTTTAATACTTAAATCTGAGATCATAAACGGGCTTGCTATTCTCAGCTGTGATTTTCTTGTATTACAGAGCTCTTGAGCGAGATTTCAAAGGGAAGCTAATGGCAATAAAATCTGAAGTCAAGATGGAACAGGAATTGCTCATGCAACAAATGCACCATCAGAGAACCAGGTTAGAAGCAGATTTCAGGTACCTTCAAGAGGAGGACTGTATCCTAAGGAAGAAGCTGACTTTGATGATCAAGGTAAGGGGTTGGGCTGTTGTCTTATGCTCAGAACAGCTAAACCATAGTACTAAGATTGAAGATTCTTGACCACAAGTAAAATATCACATTTAAGAAGGTTGAATTCCAAGGCTCAGAAATTAAACAGCTTGAGTCTAGGTCCATTTTCTTTCAAGGTGTACAATTAGGCCCACTGTTAATGGTAAGGAAAAAAAACAAGATATAAGAGTAAACTATACTTCTTTCCCGATACAATGCAAATCTTACCAGCTTCAACTTCTGAAGTTTCACCAGCCAGTTATATGTAGGTTCACAGCCATGGGACAAATGTTGATCTGTTTTTTTGATTGACTGAAAGCTGGGCTTGTTCAGGAATGGAATTCTACATCCATTAAGGCTGCAAAATTGCAGCATATGCACAGTGTAGATGTGATGGGGAAAAAACCAACTCCCCCTGACTCATTTACTCAGTTTTTCATTGTACAGGCTCTCTAATTATGCAAAAGTACATATAGTTTGTACTTAACCATTCAAAGTTACAACAGACTAAAAAAAAGTTACTTACAATCTATCCTCAAAGTTAAGGCTGCCATACCACCCTCAAATCACCTAATTGCATTTTGGACACTTGGCAGTTGTCTCACATTTATTACCAATTAGTGTCCATGATCATGTGACTATGATTTCTAGGAGAAAACATAAAAAACATTGAATATGCTGGATTTGCTTAACAACCACGTGGTTCAACAACAAAGCAGTGACTTGTTTTACAATTGTAAAAATGGTCATAAAATCGTCAGGTTATATGGTGACCCATTGAACAACCACAACAACTTAATGATTCTGGGCCAAATTGTGATTGTTAAGCAAGGACTACCTGTAGCAGGTCAAATACGGAGATGTTAGCTTGTTTTTCCTTCGTTCCAGTTCAGGTATGGTAGATCATTGTTGCACAGAGGAGCATTCAAACATGCAACACTTTTTCTGCTTTGTANTTGGTTTGGAACATAGATTTTCCTATATTTAGTGTGCTGCTGCTTTCTTGCTGAAGAGTTGCAAAATTTACCTTGACATCATGGATTTTATCTTTCTATCATTTTCTTTCTTGTGAATGTATTTTTAAAGGAAAATAGTCGCTTACAGAATGAAGTTGCTGAAGTGGTTCAAAAACTGAGTGAATCTGAAAATCAAGTTTTGAAACTTCAAAGAGATCTTAATTTTATTTTGAAAGACAAGGTAATTCCACATTGATGAAAAGGGATTTTTTTTTGCTTTTTCTAATCTAAGCCCATTTGACTCATGTGAAAAATCGAGTGAGTTGGAGTCTTGTATGTATAGCCTTGTAGCTATAGTATCTCCTATATAAACATTCACTTTTTTGTTTGTCATCATGAAGAATTTTAATTTTTTTCAGTCTTTTGGCTGAAAAATGCTGCCTTAAAATGGTTTAGGCCTTCTTAAAATGTTTTTTAATAATTTCTTTTAAATAGTTATTCTGAATATGGTTACATATGTATTTATATAAAGCAATCTCTTACTTTTCAGGTAAGCATTGGTAAAATGTCTGTAAGGACAATAAAAAGACAAAAATATTTAAAAAGCCCCTCCGGTATAATGATTTGTGTACAAGTTTGACCTGCTTCTCAACAAAAACTCTGCTGTAACTTTGGTACATTAGATCTGATTTTACTCTATGCTGCCCAGAGTTATTTTGTACACTTGGATAGTATTATAAATGAAATAAATTAAAAATAAAATGTAACTCAAGGTGTTTTTAGAGCTAACTTCAAAGGTTTTCTTTCCATTTTTGGAACAATCTACTTTAAAAAAAAATCTTATTTGCTTCAGGTGGGATTACTGGATCCATACAGTACAGAGCTATTTGATCAAGAAGCACGCTTTGCTGAAATCATTCAGGAGTATGAACTGCAATGTCGGGTAAGTGGTTTATTTTTAACCTTATAAATATGCATTGAGGAAGGCCAGAAATGAGTTGAGCAGGAAGGAAATTGTCCATATTTCACAACTTTGTCCCTCTTCCCTTTACTAACGACTGATTGGAACCTTTTTGCTAATCATTTACTATTGAATTTTAATAAATCTATTGTACAATAATATAAAACTAATGTTCCTGCCTATTGAAATAATCCACCTGAATCATGATAAGATTAAGAGATTAAGATAACCTTTATTGTCATTTTTTTTACTGTGGGCACAACGGCGCACATCAAAAATGAAATTTAGTTTAGATCCTAATAGTTTGTTCTCAGATTTTTAGGCACCAAAAGAACCGTAGGATTCTTGACTTTCAGAAAGGAAAGCTGTGTTTTCTCCCAATGATTTGTGGGTGCTCTTAGATTGCCCACAGAATCTTAAAAGTGGACCGTCTTAATCTAGATATAAAACCACTTAATGCCAAGAAGATTGTTCCATGCAGTCTGCTAGGTAAATTGTTTTTTTTTCAGTCTAAGTCTCTTACCATGTGTACTTTTGCAGTCACTGAAAGGATCCACGCTTAGAGTGCTATTAGTACTTGGTACCTGGGAAGTAGTTATCTGACCCAGAACTTTCTTGGTTGTAGAACCCATTTTATGGAATTCTTACTGATGACTGGTTATCATCAGTCACATTTAATACTGTAGCTGCTAGGATGCACCTTTTATTCAGCCCTTGGATTCTGCTGATACTTTTTATTATTGTTATTGTATAATATGTTTGTGTTGGATCTCATATTTTCTTTATTAACATCTATTTTAAGTGTATAAACAGCAGTGTAAATTTTTTCAATGAAGAACAATATATACAGTAACTGCAAAAACTCAGTTTTGAAATAGGAACAAAGAAAGCTGTCTTATATCAGGTGATACTGTTTGTTCAGCTAGCCAACCTGAAAAAAATATTTACCCATTGAGCACTCAAATAATTTTCTTGGTATGTAAACTTCATAAAAAGATTTCTTATTAAGGCATCTTTAGTAAGATAGAAAAATAATAGACTAGGTTATAAATTTTAGTTATATTGGTGCTATGTGCACCAATCCCTATTAATAATGACAACAATAATAATCAGTTTTGGCACTTCTTGGCCAATAGGCCACAATTCCAACCAAAGCTTGGTTTTGCTAAATAATGATGCCACTGTTCAGGCCAAGCTAATATTTAATATGGAGGCTACCTTGAAAATTAACATAATATTAACCTACCTTCTACCCATATACAGTGAGGTACTATATATGCAATATACTGCTGCACTTAGGATACAAAACAGCAAAATAGCTGTATGGAACAGTATAATTTTGCCCACTTTGTTATATGAAAATGAGAGTGGAAAACATAAAAGTAGATTTTATGGAGTGGGAATGGATTATTCAAAACATTTGTATGATATGAGGACATGGGGTCAAGAATAAACGGGTGCCAAATGAATGTAGATTAAATCAGTAACCCATACAAAAGAATCTTTTGAGATGTTGTGATGATAGAGAACGAAGAAAGATCACACCTCAGATGAGTGAGGAAGGAAGAGTTGAGGGGAAGAAGTCTTGAGAAAGCTGTGGTATAGGAATGTAGCAAAGATACAGGAGATTAAGATAAATGTTGCACATGTCAGTATCTTTTGGATACAAGACAATTTAGGCTCTATATATTTATTTATTTATTTATTAATCCCATTTATACCCCGCCCTTCTCCCGAGGGACTCAGGGCGGCTTACAGGTAAATAAAAACAGTACAATACAATAAATATCTCTAAAAGCCAAATTAAAATATATATTAAATAACCTGTATTAAGTTTAATATTATAAAATCCCTTTAAAATCCCTATAAAATCCCCCCCTAGGCCA